GAGGTATGAACTTACCCGAAAAAAATTTTGGCGGGCCCATACGCGGGTACCACGCTTACCCGGGGGTGGGTTTCAGTGCATTAACACCTACTTGGACGGGGAACATCCCCCTAAAGTTTCAGCGTTCTACCTTCTCAGATCCCCGAGTTGTGAACTTACCCCAAAAAAACTTTGGCGGACCCGTACGCGGATACCACGCGGGCTTTGGCGCCCATTTTAGATTGGGGCCGGCACGTGCATGTAGATTAAGTTCCCGAAATTTCAGCCCCGCAGCTTTTATAGGTCTTGAGATGAAACTGCGTGACAGACATTGCATAGTCTGTGTGCGTGTATGTGTTCATCTGTTCGGGTATTTCAACGCGGCAACTAAGCAAGCTCTGGCGCCAAAATTTTGCTTATCGGTACCCGGCTATGTGCCACCCCGGACCGCAGTACCACCCTTTACGCAAGTCTGGACTGTGCGTACGAGAGGGTGAAAGTTTTGGCGGGGAAATCGCTAACTTGGGAACGGGAAAAACTAGAAAGCTGGAATTTAGAGATTATGTTCCACGCTCACATAGAACTCAAAGATTTCAAATTTAGTCCTCAGTTGTGCATGGTTCCTGCGCACAGCTCCCGTAAAGATTCCTGACGCGAAAATCGCCAACTCCGGGACCGGGAGAGCTGGGAGGCTAAAATTTTCAAGGAATGTTCCCAGCGTAAGTGCAACATAAACCTATCAAATTCAGTCCCCAAGTCGTACGTGGTTTTCACGTACGGCCCGTAAAATTTTTTGGCGGAAAAATGGCTAGTTCGGGTACCAGGAAGCTGGAGGGCTGAAATTTTAAAGAGATTTTCCCAGCCTGCATACAACTTAAAGATTCAGAACCTAGCCTTCGGGTCAAGTGCTGCGCTATGAAAGTTCTGGCGGGAAAATTGCTAACTCGGGAAGCAAAGAAGCTGGAAGGCTGAGAATAGAAGAATATTCCCCGTCCAAATACAACTTGAAGGTTTCAAATCCAGCCTCCATTAACGCCTGGTTCTCGTGTACGTGCGCTTAAGTTTTTGGCGGGAAAACTTCTCATTGTAAAGCTGGATCTTTTCAAAAAATAACCGCTAAACGGAAATTATTTATTTCCTTTTATGAGAAATTTACGAAGATTTACGGTAATGAGCGCACAAGGTAGGTGTGAAGAAACAACCGTTCATGTTAACCTAATTCAAGTTTGGTATAAAAACTCATGATTGCACCGGCTCGCCTCGTGCATTCCAGCCTGGATTTTGATGAGTTGAACAAACCGAAGGATTGCATCTGTCTTTTGTATCTTGAAGCATCCACCCATGTTGCATCCATAACGAAATAATGTCACGTAGGATGTGGCTGAGCCGGCTTCGTGACGCAAACTATTGTGCTTCGGGAAAAGGCCAAAACGCATTGTGCATATGAAAAATAAATTTTGCGATTTATAAATTTCACATGCAGCTGTTTTATTTGGCCGTATCCCGCTGCTAGAGCTCAGTTGGGCTCGATTAGATAAACTACTGTGTTGGTTTGGCTAAATTATCAAATTGTGAAATACACTGATGCTTCCATTGTTCAGACCGAGGAAAATAGAAGAGCACCGTCTTGATACGTCGAAGACTTTTCTGGACAGCTTCTAGGTTACTGGTCAGGCACTACAGTGCATTCTCTTCGGCTAAACCTAGGTGAAACAGGATTCTGAAAGCTTGAACAACGAGTAGCTTCACTCCGAACCTCACGTACCACAGAGGTGCATTTGAAAAGTCAAAGCAGGAATCCGTTGTCAGATTTCAGATTACGCCCTTTGTCATTTGGATAGCGAGTTTTCCAGATCTGATTTACCCCAAGTAACATCACCCACAATATCCATCGAAAGTCGAGTGCCGATTACTGATGTTTATAATCATTCGAATTTGATTCAGCCGCAACTCATATTATTAAGAGTTCCACCAATCAATTTACGATGATCAATTTTTGCACTGATGAACGGCGAAAGTTTCACGACATTTTTCACTAAATGGGATCCGTTCTGGGTAATTTTTCAGGAACTGACTTTCCAGAACAGAGCTCAATAAAGGAACCCTAGTGGGAAGTGTGTTGACCTCGAATAATACACGTGGGACGTTCGAGGAACGTGAAATGTTCAGAACCAAGTTGCATTTTTATGCAGAATTTGAATCTGCGCAGGCAGGCAGTATCACGGCCAAATCGATAAATTTGTGCTAGGCATGGGGTGTACGAATTGCCAGAAACAACTGATCAGCGTGGCTGGCAAAAAAATTAGGAAGGAAAAAAAAGCTGAAGGTGATTATCCCCATGTTTCGTTAAGGAACGTCGGGAAGATAAATATGAAAATGGCGAAAATTTATAGTATTACCAGGTGTATTTTCTTCGTATGATGTATGTGTCGTATCGGTTGACAGACCACGACCGTTGGCGTCCATTGGTTTAAGAGTTTTTTATGCGTTTTTGCTGTGCAACGCTGCCAGAGTGAGCAAAAACACATATTGTTGAAAGGTCGTCCGTGTGTGTGTGTGTGTGTTTGGAAACGAGTGTACTTTATCACCTACTTTTAACTCAGCAACCAGTAAGGCTGGGAGGCTGAAATTTTGGGGGCATATCACGTAATGATTTATTACTTTTTGTTAAAATTTCGTGAAGAGCCATTGCATCATTATGATGTGGTTCCTCTAATCACCTATTTAACCTTTGGGCAACCTATTCCCTTTAGCGTTATACAGTTTCTTTGATCTGTGGTCGTTTGGGTATAAAAGTACTCCTCCTGGCCTCCAGGATTCGGTGTATTCTGCCTCGTATTAGCGCCAGGTTCCATAGCCCTGTTTTGGGAAGCTTCGGTTCCTCAGAGCTACGCCACATTCTTCCTCCCTCCTATTTTAATTTACTTTGTATAAATAATATTTTGTTGTTTAGTTAAAATATAAATATGCATATATCTATATCCAGGTGTTGGTTACACAGACACTCACACACACACGTAGGGAACGCATACTAGTCTTACCGTCAAGATCTAACATCGCGATAGGCATGTTTCCACCCCATGGGTCACCTTTCTGTCCCAAAATCATCGCTCATACGCACATAGATCTCGCGTACGGACTCCCGAAAAAACGTACAAATCCCTTTGGTGGAAAGTGATTTCGTTAACCAGGCAAGATAGAAAATTGAAACTTTGCTGGATAATTCCAGTGCATGTATGAGCTAAAGATTTCAAATTCAGATATTGCACGCATTTGTGCCGCGTATACGGTCACGTTAAATTTTGCGGTTAGCGCTGTGCCAAATTGAAAACTAGCTGGGAAATAGTAGCTGAAATTTCGTTAGAATATTTGTCGTTCACATGGAAAATTGTATGCTTAAATTGAATTTTGATTTGCATTTGCGCCAAGACTTCGGACACTCCAAAGATATTTGTAGCGAAGTGGCTATTTTGCTTGCCAGACAACGTTCGAATCTGAAACTTTGCAAAGATATTCTACGTTAACGTTTAGCCTTAATTCAGCTTGGAGATGAAATACTCAATTTTTATCGCAAACCCGGAAGCGGATGCATTTTGCGGGCCTCGTAATCCTTCTCCGACTTCCTCCAAATTTGCATTTTTCCGACGAGCGGCCGTTCATCCGAAAAACATCGGCTTGGTGCAAAAAACTGATAATCGTGCACGCTGGGGTCCTAAGCGACTCCATAATGTAACACTTTCGTCCCAGCCGACACCTTTTCCCCCTCCATGCAGAAAAAGGTCAAAATATGGCCAATATGAGTCCAAGTGTTAAACTACTGTCAAAAATCATCCCTACTGTTAAAGACTTGCAGGTTTAGCGCAAAAAAGCATGATCGCATTGGCAAGTCTGGTACGTTGCAGCCACGTTGCAGCCTGGGGTTGTGTTATGATTATTTGTGGCTAATGTACACAAAGGGGTGGGGGATAGGGTTCTACCCCGCCCTCCTTCCCAACTCCGTTTTCATTCTGGTCAGTTTCGGCTTTCCGGGAAGATTACCCTGCACCGTATTCTAGACAGCCTCAGCTGGACAACCTCGACTCTGCGGGACGGTTTCCAGAAGTGGCCCAGCTCTTTCTCCGAATTCGTAGGTCGATTTACCGGCAGTCATTGCGGTATCCCAGCTCTATTCTGAACTAAGTGGAATACCTCTCTTCCGCATCGATTGCCGCAGCTGACTCACGTATTCTCTAGGCTAAACTAAAATTCAGATCCGGTAACCCGCCAGAGTTTTGTAAATGTTGAATAAGTGTTCTTGCCAGCTTCTGTCCTGTATGGTTCTGAATTTGAACATATACGGCGCAGCAGATGATTATGCGAGCGCGATATCGTTGAAAAGTGCTCTTTTTGCATAAAAAAAGAGCACTATAAGAAACAGCCCAGGCCCGTTCCCATTTATTCATTCATCCTGGAAGCAAGTACTCACTTTCTTTGACTTTCTTTTCGGATGTTCTACGTTGCGCTATGCATACGCTCTCGGATTCGGCTCACGACCCGGGGCGAGGCGAGCTTTGCATCGAGCAGGCAGCACTGTGTGATGCTATCTGATGCCTAAGGCTCGAAAAGCTAAACAACGCTGTGTTTGCGGCGGAGGTGGCCTTTTTCGCGCCACTCTGGACTTTCCAACGACTACCCGCAACGGCCACCGAAGAGGCGTTTCACCTCTAGAATATGGCATCCGAACAATGGGCCTTTTTCGCCTCTGCATATTGAGGCTCAGAGGAAATTAAGCTTCATAACGGGAGGATTCACTGCTCGGTGGTCTCCGCTCACAACTTTACAATAATGCACTTGTGTTCAGTGATGAGGTCTGCTCATCACTGATTCGCTCACTTGATCTCGATTCTGCACGAGCCTGGTGAAGACAGATTCGGGTACAAGAAGGCTGAAAAGCGCTTGTTGCCGGTGCATACTGTCGAGACCATCCTCATTTCCGTCATATCGATGCTCGTCGACCCCAACCACGAGTCGCCGGCCAACATCGACGCCGCCTTACGTCCCTCATTTGCTAACAGCTGCAAAAAGCGCACAGCACGCGTACATTCACAGGTCCACCAGTAGTAGCAACCTTACAAGCAGCAATTCACCACCCGAACAGGTGGAGGACTGGCTGTCCTACTGCCACGGCAAAGTTCTCGATCTTTACAGAGGAGGGGGTGGCACTACTTGACGCTAGCCACTCACAGGAGTGAACAATTTTCATTCTGCAAATCTCGACTGGCAAATAAATTTTTCAGAAGATGATGTGCGAGGACTACGCGGCATTAAAAAAGAAAGTGAAGCACTGCGTGCGCGGGATGCTGGAGGGAGGACTCACTATGCAAGCCTCGATTTACCAGTAATCCATGATAATAACGCTCGTTTGCCTGAAACAGCTGCCACACTTTGTCATCAGCCTTCTGTAACTATATGTGTGCGAATAAAACGATCATCGGCAGCGTCCTCGCAGACCGCCTGCACTGATCGCAACACGAAAGCCGTTCAGCCCGGAGGCGCCGCGATCCGCACGGGCCTGTCGGTAGTACCATCACAACAGAGCAAATATCCGGCTATTCTGCCAGCAACTCATAGTTTGCCAATTCACTAGTTTCTAGTAACTACTAGAAACTGGACTCGACTCGGCCGGGACTGGTAGTGTAGGTCTCGGGGTGGGACATGGGGAGAGGTGGGGTTATTGACACGAAAGAACTTAGTTGGAACATGAGGTGCAAACAAGGACGAGGTTTATGGCGGGATTCGCTATGGATCTTCTTATGCTCAACATGTAACTCAGTGCTGAGGGGAGGTTTGCCGCTCAATGCGCACTAATTTCACAGTTCGGATTTCAGTAGCAAAAATCGTGCTACCGAGTTTTTTCTCTACGTAATGTTCTAGGTGTGCACTCAAAATTATTCACTTCTCTTCAGTACCAAGTTTCGCGTGGAGCATAAAAAACCCATAGGCACATCCCATCCCCCGCCGGCCCCTCCCCCTCCTCCCCATAAGCCTAGCCGTTGTTTCCAATCCTAGCTCCAGTCAAGGTTTTAGCTCTTGAAGCCGATAGTGAGTTGAAGCAAAAAGCCGAAAATATCGACTGGACTATAACGGCGAATACTGACGAGTATTACAAATGTCTTTTTGTCTGAATGCACGAAACGAGTTCAAAGCGCTTGTTCTCTGTGGTCATATTCGAGGCTTCCGCAATCGCAAAAATGCTGTTAGAAGAAAGAAGAAAGACGAAAAGGAATAAAACTCAAATCGTGTGGCTTACTGGATGGAGGCTGAGTGAGGATCTCGACAATTACAGTCGTTGACGGAAGACAGGAGCGATACCGAAAAAAAGAGCCTGAAGAAAAATCTGTTGTTGTACCATCCGGTAATGGCAGCGCTAAAACACGGTAGTAGACGTTTGGCAATGAACCGAATAAATGTGAAGAACATCTGTAGATAATCCTAGCCAAATTTGTTTGTGTCAGTTATCGACATTCCAACGCCTGTAACCCGCCCCAGTACCAAGCCTCAAATCTCTCCAGTATTTGCTAGTGAGGCAAAGCAGGCAGTTCTCTAAATGAAAGTGGAAATGCTTCTGAAAATGACGCCATTAAATTGAATTTATTCAGTCTGGAGAACACAAACAATAGAAAGAACTCGCCATTCGGTTCAGTTGGTACTTGGTCGAAAGAAAAAGGCCTAGCAGTTGGAAAGAGTCGAAGAATGTTTTGCTGCACAGAAATGACGATAAATGAGTGATGTTATTTTTTCCTGAAAAAGCTGGATTAAATAAGCAAGCATTTCACGCAAGTTTTTTTGATGAAAGCCGTCCAGTAATTTAGGTCAGAACATTAGGAAAGGTTTACGTGGGAAAATCTGACCACAAAAAACTGAGAAGTGGCGGTTGGCGTTTGGATGAAAATGTGGTATTTCTTAGAAATCCAGTTTGTTATTTCTGCTGCTTCTGTAAGTTATTATATGCAGTGACGAAATCACAAAGCTCATTTGTTTATCATTACTGTTATCATTCTGCCAAACGTTCAACATTTTTTTCGAGTTGCCTTAATGCTGCGAACCACCACCACGGTCTTTCTGTCGGTTCACTGCTCGTTGGCATAGTCTCTTCAGTTTCTGACGATTCAGTAATTTCTGTATATTCCGAGCTGGTTCTTCTAGGATTTATTGATGTTATTTCCACCACTGTGGTTGTTTCGATCACTTTGGAACTGTAATGTACGGAAAAATTTACTGATCCGAATTGGCGCTGGAATCAGAACGAAAAATTACTTGAGATAGCCGTCTCTGGGGCATGGCCATATCAAAATGATGTCGTGGATTCTGCGCTGATTCTTCACTCTATATTTGTGCGATTTTGCTGTGCAGCGTTATAGCTACAGTGAACAAAAACGCATATCGTGGAAAGGTCCTTTGTGTGTATGTGTTCGGAAGCGAGTGAATTTTGTTACCCAGTTTCAACTCATCAACCAGGAAAGCTGGGAAGCTGAAATTTTAGGATCATATTCTCACCCTCGGTGTCACCCTCCCGTTTTAAGACTTTTCCTCATACGCACCTAGATCACGCGTACGGACCCCCTAAAAAATATGCAAATTTCATTGGCGAGAAATGATTTTGTGAACCAGACAAGATAGAAATTTGAATCTTTACAGGGATATTCTATGTGCTTGTATGAACTAAAGATTTTAAATTCAGCCATAGTGCACGCCTGTGCATCGCGTACGGTCACGTCAAAGTTTTCACTTAGAACTGTGCTAACTCGAAAACTAGCAAGAAAACAGTGGCTGAAATTTTGTTAGGCTATTTGTCGCCCATATGTGAAATCGTATACCTAAATTGAGTTTCGATTTGCACTTGTCCCACGACTTAGGACACTTCAAAGATATTTGTAGCGAAGTGGCTATTTCGCTTATCGGATAATGTGCGAGGCTGAAGCTTTGCTGGGATATCCTACTTTCACGTGTGGTCTTAATTCTGTTTCGAGGTGAAATTCCCTGCAGATGGGTATGAGAAATACTCAGCTTTATTGCAGACTCAGAAACGAGTGCATTTTGCAGCGAATGACCTCCCTCATCCTCTCCCAACATCCAGTTCATTTAAATATTTGGATTTTTCAGCGAACGACCGCTTTAGCAACATTTCCAATTTTCAGAGCATATAAAAAGGAATTGCTGGTGCTCATTTCACAATGACACAGCAGCTATTTTTGCCGACAGGCCATAGCATCGCCAGGATGAGCATTCCTACCAGCACAATAAACAAAAAGAATCCAAAAGGTGAGACCTGGGCAAAAAGCTGAGCAAAAACGCATGCTTGTTCCGGCTAGCCTGGTGCATTCCAGCCTGGGTTGAATTTTAATTTCTTACGTTTCTTTATCTTCTTCGTTTGATACCTCAGTCGGTTTGCTATCATCTGTTATTGCAGCAATTGGAAAAGATTTGGATGTGGTGAGTAGTAGACGCTGCCATATCGGAACGGATGTGGATTGCGTTTTTAATCGTCTTCGAACATCTAACGATGCCTGATGATTCTAAAATTTTGCGTATCTATTATTTTTAATAGTAAAGCAAAGTATGTTAGAGCTGATGCTATCGTGTTTCCACAACAGCTGCTTTGCGGAACCTGTTTTTTCTTCAATGTTCAGACTGTAAAGTTTTGGAGCCCTCAGTGAAAAACAAGGTAGAAAACAAGCTGAGTTCTTCATTTGGCTCATTTAAGATGCAGTTGTGACTGTGCCTTGTGTTTTTTTTTATTTCTTGTCAAACTTCGCTTTTGCCTTTCATGTTAAGTTAATAAATGCTGTATTTAACTACCATTCACTTACTATTTCCTTTGGTCGTGCAGACTTCCTCAAGTCAGCAGATCCAGCAAAAGTTGTAGGCATCTGTTCCGTTCTGGAGTGTTCACTGTCGCCGCCAATTGAAAATGAATGCAAAATACCGTGTTGTGGATTGCAAATCGCTGTTGCGTAACACTGGGAAATTAGCTGAAAATTTCTACGCAACATTAAGTTTCTTGTACTTGTAAAAGCAGATAAACAAGGTAGCGGCAAGTGGTGCTGCTCTCATGCTAAAGGTTGAGAGTTCGACTCTGCCAGTACAGCGACCAATCCCTCCACAGTCCGTCCAACTGTCTCATGGTAAATGGTACTTGTGTGTGTGTGTGTGTGTGTGTGTGTCAGTAATCAAAATCGCCATCAGCTTGTTTGTATGTATCCTTCGAGCGAGAGAGCAAGGGAACAACCTTACTAGCGAATGGTTGCTATAGTACTTGTTACCTCTGTGACACCGTCCCTCACAGCCAATAATTTATGGAGGGCCAGAATGTGAGAGAGGAGGGGCTGGAATTTTGCACATAGGAGGCTCTTTAAATGTATTTTAAAAAACGTTTTATTTTGATCTTCTAGCAAGTGGAATTCATGAAAATAAGTGAAAGTTTAAAAATCATGAAAGGTGCAAATTTGTTAGCAGTTTATCAATACAAACCCGATGTATGTAGCTCTTAGCCTTGTAAGCATCATTGCGATGCTTCACGAGGAATGAATCGAGTGATGGGCTATTTCGGCAGAAAGTTGAATCCGGCGAATCTTGACAAGGGAACTGTAGCAGTTCACCTTAAACGTACAGTAAGTAACCGAACTCAGTCATTAACAGACATGAATGTTTTAAAAACTGTTATTCACGGGAAAAATTATATGCTCAAATAAAAGGGCAGAGTTCTCTGTTTAAGTATTATTACAGCCAGGTGCAACCAAATTAGTTCTTTGCCTGGGTTACTTCCTCAAATATCATTCGTCCGTTATGTTTGCGCACCACCTGCTGAAAGATCGCCTCAGCAGCCTGTTTTCACTTCAGCAGTAGCAGTTTGTCACACAATGATTTGTAGTTTTTGGTTAAAAACTTCACAAGGAGCCATTGCAACACCCTTGGATCCCGGCTCAATCATTGGACACTCTACCCCTGTTAGACTTATGCAGCCTTTGTGGTCTGTGACCATCGCGATATAAAAAAACACCTCCCCACCTCTGGCATCCAAAGTCACTGTTTTCGTCACTCAGCCGTGTTCTGTGGAGCTTCGCCTCTCTAGTTACTCTTTTTTACGCGTTTTTGCTACTACAGCCAGCAAAAACGCATATTGTTGAGAGGCTGTATGTTTGTGCTCATTTTGTCACCCATTTTCATCTC